AGCTTTGCGCCTTTCCTGGAGCTCACTTGGTAGCCCAGGCTGGCCTCGAACTCACAGAGATCCGCCTGGCTCTGCCTCCCGAGTGCTGGGATTAAAGGCACGCGCCACCACCGCCCGGCTGAGTCCCAAACCTCTTAACAATCATGCATGGTGAACAAGGCACACATCGGGTCGTCTACCGGCTTTCCTGCTGGGTGTGTGCAGGGCTGGGAAACTGGCTATAGCCCAGAGCCAAATAGGCTTTCTCCCTGACCCTCTCCACCTAACAGCCCAGCTGGTCCTTCCCAAGCAGCGGTTGTCTGCTGCGGAGCCACAGGAGAGGAGGAGATGCGGGAAGTTAGTTGTTTGGGCATAGAATTAGGAAAGGCTTTCATTTCCTGACATCCAACCCACAAATCCTTAGAGAACCATGAGCAAATATTAGCTCCCCGCTTTAAGCATCTGATAACTCAGTAGCAATTTAAAAAAAATCTTTGAGTCATCAGTCAGAAAATACTTATGAGCTGCTCCCAGAGGTACAGAACTCTGAGAAGTGAAGTGAAGTCAGAGGTATGGGATCTACAGGGGGCGCCTGGTCCAAATGCAGAGACAAGCTGTGGGTACACAGTGAGTTTAAAAAAAAAAAAGATGATAAAATCACGTGGTCAGCTTGAGCGCCACCTAGAGTTGCCGAAGCCTCCAGCAACCTAGACATCATAAGGGAATTCTTACCTGCAGCCTCATCACCAAGTCAGCTCCTGATCCCCATTTCTCCACGTGTTTAAAAAGATTATTCTCAGCCAGGCGGTGGTGATGCATGAGACCATCTAACCAGTCCTTTTTGAGGGTTTTTTTTTTTTAATCATTTGGGAGGAAAGAGATGGCATTCATTGCGATCCAGAAGTTAATTTTCTTTGCCATTAAAATGAAATTAAAGTCACTGGCCAAGGATGTGACGCTGATGATTCAGGAAGCAATTCTGCTGCAACAGCCCATCCACAGTGACAATTACTGCCCCGAGTTACCATGAAGACTGTAAACGGTGAGCAGTCTCTCTTTGAGAATTCCTTCTCTTACAGAAATACAAATCCAGCCATCACCGCAGTAACACTTCCACAAGGCAAAATGTTCACACATGCACATACTCTCTCACATACTCACACACACACACACACACACACATACACACACACACACACACACACACACACTCTGTCATACACACACACACACACACACACACACAAACACACGAGCACACATACATACTCATTCTCTCTCACACACACACACTCATTCTCTCTCTCTCTCTCTCTCTCTCACACACACACACACACACACACACAGAATGGCATACCCTTCCATTCAGGAGTAGCCTAGTGGCTTCTTCACAGTCACACCAAAGCTCTTTCTCCCCTGGGATTGGTGCAGAGGATGCCATCATGCATGGAAAACTATAGTTTTCAGGAAAGAGGCTTGCTATGTTATCAATGCAAAGCTAGGCTAGATAAAGTCATTATTGGGCTAATGCACTAATGTTTTAGCTGCATTCTTCTGCATAATGGAGATTGTTAATTCCTCTTCCACATCAAAAAAAAATTGATTGTGAGAAAGACCAGGGCATTCCAACCAGGCCAAAGTTTAGGAAAGTTGTTCCCGTCTGAGATGAAGGAATTTTATGTAGGGAAGCGATCAATACTTATCGGTTAGCTCTGTCATCAGCCAGTTTCCCACAAGCTTATTTTATCTGCTGCTCGCACTGACCCTGAGAAACAGGCGCTGTCTGTCTGCTTCCCTTAACGGGGAGCCTGACATGAGAGTTAACCGGCAATTCTCGTTCACAGTTGCCATGGGTTGAGTGGCTTTGAGAGAGATACTTTGGGGTCATTAACCCCGTCAGCCTTCACAGCAAGGTCATATAAGGGACTTGTGTGATCTACCTTGTGAAGGAGAGGGTCATCTCCATGTAACAGATAGACACAGCTGAGGTGGGGGAGATTTCTCAGACTTTACATGGGTAAGAAAGAGGCGGGTGTTCCAAACCATGCTCTGTACTTCTGCCACCATCCCTGGCATGGATGTGGGCAGAATGGACTTCACCTTCATGACTTCCCAAGGACCCACTGACTTGCAGCAATCCAAATCAGACCAAATCAAACCGAATTAGAAAAAGCTCAGATTTAATGGATAAAAAGCTCCCGGATGATTTTCTGTCCCCACCCCCACCCCCACCCCCAAGAGAGGAGACAGGGAAGAGAGACTGAAAAACCATATCTGTTTTCTGGGGAGCAGTTTAAATACCCTGTGGGAGTGGTCTTGAGCATCTCTTGGGGAGGAGCCGTGTTTGGTGGGCTTTCTGAGATGAGGCAGAGTCTGGGGAGAGAAACGGGGGAGGGGGACTGAGGTGGAACATCTACCAGAACACTTACTTCCCAATCCCCTTATATTGCCCCTTATTTATATGTAGCTTCCCATTTCTTCTCTGGGGCCCCCTACCCCCTCCTGGCTCAGGGAAGGTCATGGGAGGATTGTGCTTTGCCCAGGCTTCCTTTCCACAATATTCTTTGTGTCTCTTGGAGGCAGGGGCTTGGGTAGGTTCATAAGATTGTCATTCAATGGCAAATATTTCAGTTTCACATACTAAGACACACCAGAGGTCTAGTGATCCAGAGCTCCAGACCTCGGCAGATGAGGGAGCTCTGAGGATGTAGACCTGGGCTGAGGAATTTGGGAATTGGTGGTGTCCTTTGAGTTTCTGGTGTGGCACTTGTCTCCTCCACGGTGTCTTCTCTGCCTAGGCCATCTTTCAACAGTCAGAGCCAATACAGCCCGCTGGAGACACCTTCCCGAACTCTGTCCGCTCCTGCGTGCACCCATAGTGTCCATTTCTTGGGGAATTTGTTAGTTTCATTCTGGGTCTCTGCTGCTTGTCCCACGTCCCACACTCAGTATGAGGCTGTATCCGTAGACTTGCTCAGAAGTCGGTGAAAAATAAGGAGGAAGGGATGGGAATCCTAAGATCAGGAACAAATCTTCTTCCCATTTGCTTACCTGTGAATCTCCCTTCTGACAGCAGCCGGCCACTGTGCAGTGAGGGTCTCTGCTTAACTACTGTGTCCTGAAAGTTGTTCCGCCAGGGATGCTTTGGGGAAGTGTCTGAGCACCCCGGGCTAATGCCCACCCTCACCCCAGGGTGCTTGGCTGTTTATGCTGCCTGGGCATCTCAGATCTCTCAGGCTGTCCTTGTAACTCAGGCCGCATTCCCACTCTCTTTCTCTAGAAGTCCTAGGGTTGCGGGAGGGAGGGTTGGTGCCCACAGGCTGCTGGAGCCATTATCCTTCTGTCCCTGCCTGGGTTTTTAGCCAAGGAGGGCCCCTTTCTCTGTTTGCTTTCCAAATGCTGCCGGGGCAGCCATGTGCAAGAGACTCGAATATATGTATCAGAGAGAGAAAGCAAGAGCAAGCAAGTGAGCGAAAGACAGACAGACAGACAGAAAGAGAGACAGACAGACAGAAAGAGAGACAGACAGACAGACAGATGAGGGGAGGGAGGAGGGAAAGAGAAAGAGAGAGAGAAAGAGGAGGGGGGAGACACAGACAGACAGACACACACACACACACACACACACACTCACACACTTGGTGGGGGGGACCTGTGATGGAGTTGGCGGAGGCGGGGGTGGAGGGGTGGGGGTGGGAGGGTTAAGGCGGGGGTGGAGGGGTGGGGGTGGGAGGGTTAAGGCGGGGAGATTGTGAAAACAAGCCAAAGGAAGAGCTGCTTTCATTTCCAGGCCCAGACGGAAGTGTTTCCCGACTCGCCTTCCTAAAGACTCGGGCGACAAAGCTGGACTCAGCAGGCGCCTCCCTCATCAGCAATGGGCCCGGAGGTGAGCCTCCCACTTCCAAGACCAGGCCACCCCTGGTCCAGGTCGGGTGAGCTAGGCCCGAGTGGCACCGTCCACCTCAGGCTTCCTCTGCTACTTCGTCACTGGTTTTACTAACAGATCCCAGCACAATGCAAAGGAAGTTGGTGTAGGCAGCCACAGGTAGCCCACCCCACCCCAGAGGAAACAAAGAGAAAGGCCAAAGGTCACAGAGTGAAGAGCTGGCAGGGTGTTGGGGTCCGAGGTGGAGCTGGCACAGTCTACGGAGAAGCAAGTGAGGATTCAGCTAGCTAGTGACGCTAACCCAGGGACGGGCCTTCAGGCTTCGTCTGTAACAAGTCTGCCCAAAGCAGCCCCCAAACGCGCTGGGATTTTTAGTAAAATTACAAGGTAAAGGCTGTGGCCGGGAGACGGAGAGGGCTAGGCTGTACATATGAGGTCCCCAGGGCGTTTGGTTGTCACAGGGAGAGACCACCTCTGCCTCCTTGTCTCAGCCCCCCACTGTGGTTCTCTTCGGCATCAGGTGCTGTTTTTTGGGGGGTGGGGAGGGGCTCAGCTGTCTTTGCTTCCTTCTTGAATCATCCTCGTCCTTTTCTGCTTTGCCTGGTGGGAGCGCAGCCCCCTCTCTCCTAAGAGGAGGGCAGGGGCTCTACAGCTACCCCAAGAGGAGATGATCAGCATGCTCACCTCCTTCACAAAGCCTGGCTACCTGAGCCCACAGGTAAAACCACAGGCGAGAACTGAGGTCACTAGGCCAGGTACATTCTGACCAGTACTTAATTAAAGTGGTGCACACGCCCACCCGCTCACCCAGCTGGGAGACATTGATCCCCAGCATGGCACGTACTGTCCTTAACAGCCGAAGATGGAAGCCTCCTCTGCCGAGAAGGCCACCCTGATTAGCGGAGGGGAGCCCACTGAGTCACCAGTGCCAAAACCCCTTCCCAATGTGCTCTCACAGTTCTAACTGAGGAAAATAAAGCAAATAAGGAAGAGAGATTTGCTGCCAGTGTGAGACCACGGGGTGCCGTTTACCTCCCGTTGCCGTTCTAATAAAACTTGAGATTCCAAGGCCAGGGTGAAAACCTGCAGAGACTTAGACTAGCTGGCTAACTTTCTCTCTCTGCTGGTGTCCAGGAACCTTCCACACTGCTCCAACAACAACAACAACAACAACAACAACAAAACCACACTAAGCCCCTCCCCGCTACCTCCTGTCAACCAGTTGCTAACCCCGCCTCTTTGAGTCCAGGTTAATTTCTCAGCGCAAAGGCGACACATCTTTACATGGCTAACAAAGGCAGCATGTAACACATCTGTATCGTAACACATCTTTGCCTGGTTAAACAAATATTCCACAACAACGGGGTCTGCCCAGTCCACTCTAAGAACCCTTGGTTGGCTGGGCAGCCCACGCCTGACTGCTCCCCTCCTACTTAGGTTCCGTCGCTTTCTGGAAGCTCTTCAGTGGGACTGGCCTCCTTGCGAACTTCACTCCAGTAAGTCGGGGGAACAACTGGGTCACTTCCTGGCTGTGGGTTTGTGTTGTTGTTGTTGTTATCTTTGCTTGTCTGTTCCCTGACACTAGCCTCTACCTCGGGATTGTCAGCCGGGTTCCGATTCTTCGCTTTGATGTCTTCCTGACATTTCTCCCTTCTTATTATCCTTGCCCTCCGTGTGTCTCAGTCCAGAAGGAAAGCCCCAGTGAGCAGCATTGCGGTGACAGCAGAGGACACCCTGGCCTACCTGGCTGACCAGCAAGGCTTTGTGCATGTCTGTGACATCCGAGAGTACGGCCTCCAGGGACCAGAGTTGCAGGCTCCCAACAGTACGCAGTGACGGTCTCCATGTCAAGCCCTAGATAAGATTGCTTTGGGTTTAGTGTGATGGTCTCGTGGGAAAATTAAATTGTCCCAGGGCGGAGGGATCACTCTTAGAGTTCTTGGAAAGCAGCCAACAGTTTCCTGCAAACATTTGATGTCAGCAAGGGTGCAGGACAGGGGCCATCAGCTAACACGGGACAGCGGGTGATTGCCCGTCGAGGGGCACGTGGACAACCTGTGTCTGGTGCTGCCAATGGCAGTTCTGCTTCTGGGGATTTGGTAAAGGAACGGACAAGTGTGCACAGAGGTTGACTTGCAAGGTTGTGCAACAACACACTATTTATCAGAGAGAGCGAGAATGCTTACACGAGGACCCGGTCTGTATTTCCAACACCCTCTTAAAAGCCAGGTGCACACCCCCCACACATCCCCTCTCTCCTAAGAGAGGATGGTGGGTATCACCGCCCACCTGCAATCTCAGCACCCAGGAGTCAGAGGCTGACGACCCCAGAGCAAGCTGGCTAGATTAGACTCATCAGTGAACCCCACCTTGGTAAATAGAGTAAAGAGCAACGGAACAAGACAGCCAATATTCACCTGGGGTCTTTACATCTGTAAAAGGTGTGCACACACACATCTGTACCCACACACTTGCAAACATGCAAGCACGCCATGTACATACGCACACAAAATAAAAATCACTGAGGAAAATCGTTGTGTAAGTATGTTCCACGGGTCCTATTTCATACACTTTCAGAGATGGCATGGGGGGAGGTCTTGCACATAGTAGGTGCTTGGTGCTCACTTAGGGAATTGAAGCAGAAAGACCCACCAACAACACATCAGTGCCCCTTCCAACTGGGCACACATCCTCACTGGACTCGTTCCTGTAGGATCCTACTCAGATGTCTTTATTTTTTCTTAGCAGTGACATCCTGGAGGGCTCATGTCAGCATGGTGACATCGTGAGTACCATCCCTGTGAAGGGCTCCGTAACCCATAAAGGAAATAATTGTTCACGTTTTGATCAAATCAGTCCCCTCCAACCCCCCTCGAGCTTGTCAAGGAGGAAAATTGCATTTCCATTCTGCCCCTGATGAAACAAGATGAATGTGGTCCACGTGGGGTCAAAGGGAGAGATTCCAAGTCCTTGTTTTTCTTGTTCATGGGGAGCTCTCCCTGTATTGACCTGGTATTCTCCTGCAAGTTTATGAGCTTGCTAGGTTTGGATTGATGCGAGGCTTAAAAGGAGTCAGTGCCGAGAGAGGGGGAGAGAGAGAGAGAGAGACCGAACTTGCTGGATCTTTCTGACCACTTGTTCTTCCACTCACCCTGTCACCTCCAAGGTGGTTTCCCATACATCATCCCACTTGATGTCTTGGGAGTGGACTTGGGACTTTGGAGGCTGTGAAGTGTGAGAGGAGGTGGGGGGAAAATGGCTTTTAAAAATGAATCTGGCTTCTCTAGTCCGTTCTGTTGGATCCAATGTCCCTCCCTTTCTTGCAGAGCAGCCTTGATAAAGCTCTTCTCCCCTTTGATTTTGCTAGTCTGGAGCTGATTGAAGGAGATAGCATCTTACTGTCCTCCTCCCTGGACAGCTCTGTGCGCCTATGGAGTAAAGACGGTGCCTACATAGGTAAGGGTCCGCCTCCGTAAGACACACCCCT